AGGGAAAAGGGTCAAAAATACCCCTCAACTTTGGTTTATTAGTTGACTATACCCCTGCCGTTAAAACAAAGTTATTTATGCCCTTGCCGTTACCAATTTCACCATTTATACCCCTCAATGGACGGAAATCCCCAAATTGACTCAAATTAACCGATTTTACTTAAATTACCCAATTCTAACCCGATCCGACCCGACCCACTTAATAATATAACCCATTTTTGTTCTATCTTGTTCATCTTCATCTTTAATGTTGGGTTCCTTTTCAAAAACAAGCTGTAAACAATACATTTGAAAACACCCATCAAACAATTAGCAAAAACCACCTGCTCCATCCACAAACTCCAGCAAAGAGAGACCGCCGCCAGTCCCCTCCTTTTTCCCCTTTTACGTTTCGCCGCCAGTCCCCTCCCTTTTCCCCTTTTACATTTTCTTCTATTGTATGTGTTTTTGGCTCCAACTCCGGTGAACAATGACCATGAACTTCGGCGAGGCTCTGCAAATCAACAGCCACCACAACCTCTCTCTCAACGCCAAAATACAGCAAACCCATTTCTCGAACCAGTTAACAACACCAACACAGCTCCACGATCGAGCTTCACCCCCCATTTTCCGATGACCCTCTATTTTCTTTCCATTCTTATATTTTATGATGATTTATTTTTCTTTTACATTTTTCACTCTATTCTCTGTGTTTCAGATTTGGTTAGGGAGTTCAAGCTCCAATAATTTTTCATTCATATTCGTTGTTCAAGTTTGTGTGTGCTATTACACTTTGTTGTTGATTATTTTAATTTTTGGTTTGATATTATTGTATTTTTGGGCACTGTTACAGCTTTTGCTTGTTAATTTGTTATTATGTTGGACCTTTTTTTATTAATTTTAAAGTTGAAGATTAACAGAAATGAAGATGAACAAAAATGGGTTTATATTATTTGGTGGTTCGGGTCGGGTTGGATCGGGTTAAAATTGGGTAATTTAAGTAAAATTGGTAATTTGAGTCAATTTGGGGATTTCCGTCCATTGAGGGGTATAAATGGTGAAATTGGTAACGGCAAGGGCATAAATAACTTTGTTTTAACGGCAGGGGTATAGTCAACTAATAAACCAAAGTTGAGGGGTATTTTTGACCCTTTTCCCTATTTTTTAATTAATATTTTTTAAAACGAGCAAAGTTTATATTTCTTTAAAAGTAAATTCAATTGCTTAGATTATTCGATAAGTTGGTTATATATGTTTTTTTTTTAAATTATTGAGCATTTTTTTTTTTTAAAAATAACTACGATATGATGGCATAAAATTTAAAAAAGCTCATTTCTTCCCTTACATCGTGTTATTAGTCATTATTAATGTATTGACT